CCTGAGCCCTTGCTCTGTTCTTGCACTGTAACTAAGTGCTGCACCTAGTCACACAAAACTAAGCATCACACCAAACAGTCCCAGCCCTCATGGAGCTTGGAGTCCATATCAATGGAAAGAGAAGGGCCAAATGGACGCTTGAAAAGTAAATGACATATTACAATTCGCATGCTCCTTTTGCAGAAGAATCATGCTCATATTGTATGTATCATTACTTTTTATCATAAAATGGCCTTCCATATTTATGTCTTGATGGCATAATTTAGCTTATGAGCCCACTGGGAAATTCCCTAACTTATGCAGCCGTCTACTACTTTGTTGTCACTCCTGAACTACTGGGTGGTGATAACACAGCCCATGAATCCATCTCTGCTCATATTTAGAGAAGGTTGCCCGGCTTTTTAGGACCAAGAGAAATATGAGATGTGTTTTAAATGTGGATTTTAGGGGTTCTCAATGTAAGAAAAGACAGTCAAATGAAGAACTGAAATTTCAAACAAGGAGTATTGAAAGGCGACTTGTTTACCCTCTACAGAGACTGAGTCAATTAAAGAGTAGCCTCAACTTAAGGCTGAAGCGTGATAGGAACACTATGCCATGAGCCATTTGCTCTACTTGGTGATTCAAAGTTTTATGCTTACAGTTTCATGAAACTCAGAATGAAACCATAGTCAGAACACACAAGGATATTTGCTACTGATAATCCAATTCCAAAAATAGCAAAGCAATAATTTCTAGGACATATGATTTCAAAGATGTGCAGAAAAGGGAGAAAAGAACATTATTATACTAACTAGGCATGGTAGGTAGCTCATGCATGTAATCCCAGTGCTTTGTCAAGCCAAAGTAGGAGGATCACTTGAGGCCAGGAGTTCAAGACCAGTCTGGGTAATACAGTGAGTTCTTTCAAAAATATTTTTTAAAAATAGCCAGGCATGATGGCACATATTGGTAGTTCTAGCTACTCAGGAGGCTGAAGCAGGGAGATCACTTGAACCCAGGAGTTTGAGGCTGCAGTGAGATATGATCATGCCACTGTACTACAGCCTGGGCAACACGGCTGTAGATAGTCTTTCTTAAAAAAGAAAAAGAAAAAAAAGAACATAGGTATATGGTTTGTGAAATTTGATAAACTTGGATTTACATTTCCATTTTACCACTTACAAGGCATATAACTGAGGCAGATTAATATATTTGAGCCTCATTTTTCTCATCTGTTACAAAATTGGATGAAGAAGAAAATACTGCTTTACATTATTGTTAAAAGATTTTATGAGGCTGTGAATACCAAGCACATAGCAATGACTGTTTCAACATGAGTTTACTCCCCAGCCCCCATTAGAATCTAGTAATTAGAGGCAAGCATGGGTTTTGACTCTACAGCCATTGATACACACCACAGCAGAATGAGGAATGCTCTCATATGTGCCAGGCACTAAGGATGTAACACAATGCCCAAAACACCTTCCAGTACATGTAAGGAAGACTTTAAAAACACACTTGTAATGTCACTTTTATCATTTTTATTGCATTCAATTCAACAAACATTTATTGAATGCCTACCTCATACATATTCATTCTCTAGTTTAGTAGAACAGAGAGCTACTGCACTCCGATGTGAGGTCAGGGGCTGTTGTTTCGTCTCCTTCTGACATTGAGAAGTTTTCTGTTCCCAAGTATGCAGGGCCAGTTTATTTGACTATTATGCTCCACACAGGTACAACAGAGCTCTATCAACTTTGTGAATTAACAAAAATAATGCTTTCTATATAATTGGAGACCAGATATTTATTCAATGTAAAAAGAAAGAAAGAAGGAAGAAATGAGAGAAGGGAAGACAGGCAAAAAGGGAGAGAGAGATGGACAGTCAGTCCCTGAGACAAAGAGAGGGCAGTCAGAAAGACAGATACGAGGACAGTCAGACAGAGGAAAGTTAGACAAAGGGACAGGCAGATAGACACTGTTATTTGTCCTCATGTTCTCTTCTCTTTGGACCATGACAATTCCTATCTGCTTCACAGGACTACTGAAAGGAACATATTTAAAAAAAAAAGGGGGAAGCATTAGATTCTAAATGGTTATGAATAGTGTCAATGTTAAGTGTCAAGTGAAACAGACAAATCATACTAACATAGAGTATTTGATTTTTAAAAATGTATTTAACTGTGGTACATCCTGATAATGGGATGTCATTCAGCACTAAAAAGAAATGGGCTATCGGGCCAGGAGCAGTGGCTCACATCTATAATCCCAGCACTTTGGGAGGCTGAGATGGGCGGATCATTTAAGGCCAGGAGTTGGAGACCAGCCTGGCCAACATGGTGAAACCCTGTCTCTATTAAAAACACAAAAATTAGCCAGCGTGGGGGTGCATGCCTATAATCTCAGCTACTCAGGAGGCTGAGGCAGGAAAATCACCTGAACCCAGGAGGCAGAGGTTGCAGTGAGCAGTGATCGTGCCACTGCATGCCAGCCTGGGCCACAGAACGAGGCTCTGTCTCAGAAAAAAAAAAAAATTAAAGAAAAATAAAAAAGAGAAATGTACTAAGCCATGAAAGACATGGAAGATCCTTAAATGCATATTACTAAGTGAAAGACGCCAATCTCAAGAGACGGGAGACTGTATAATTCCAATCGTATGACCTCCTAGAAATGGGAAAACTATAGAGACAGGAAAAACATCACTGGTTGCCAGGGGCTAGGGGTAGGGGGTGGGGCAGATGAACAGGTGGACCACAGGGGATTTGGGGGGCAGTGAAACTACTCTCTATGATACTATAATGGTGAATGCACAACAGCCAAAGTGAACCCTAATGTGAACGGTCGACTTTGGGTGATAATGCTGTGTCAGCATAGGTCTGTCACTTATTACAAATTAGACCACGCTGGTATGGGATGTTGACAGTGGGGGAGCTACGTACTCTATGGCAGCAGGGGATATATGAGGAATTTGGTACCTTCCACTTAATTTTGCTGTGAACCTCAAACTGCCCTAAAATATAATATGTATTAAAATAAAATAAATTTATAGAATATGCACACGGAAGCTAATCAATCTTTACAGAACGCAATCCGGAAAAGAGGTCAGATCCATTCTGAGCTTTTAAGTGAAGTGAACAACACATGTCTCCCCTGGTGACATCACCCAGTCGATGAGAAGCTGACAGCAACCAAGCTCAATCCCTCTCTTAGAAGTAGAGAGTCATTTGTGATGGTTCTTCAAAGACAAAGGCCTCTTTGGCCTCCATAGCCTTACAAAAGTCTCTGGGGCAAGTTGAAGGTGCCACATAGATAGACTCTGACATGGGATCCAAGCTGCAGCTTCAGAGGGACCCTAGTGGATAAAGGTCTGGCAGTTACATGACTAGGGTCCAAATGGGGTCTAGAAGAGGAGCTGGGGAGAGGTAATCACTCACCCAAAGTGCTGGGACCAAGAAGGTTTCAATCACCCATGAACAGATCTGAACATTTCAATAATGAAACCTGAACTCTGCCTCCCATATCAGTGAGCATCTTGGCCTCCATCACACCAGCAGCTTTATTTCTGACAGGGCCTCCCTGTGAACGAAGACCATCTCTAACTCATGACGGCCTTTACTTATATTCAGCCTTAGCTCAAGCAGGGCCTGCGTGATTGTGGATGAACAGGGCAGGGAGCTTCATCTTGTCCAAGGCCCTCTTTCTGGAGGGAAAATGCAGGGACAGCTCCATTAGGTGAGATGCTATCTTAACTCTAAGGCAGGCTTGCTGACAAGCATCTGCAGGGCAAGCACTCTACACTACTTTTCCCACCATAGATATGGGCGAATGGTGCTAAGCTCTCCTTGTGACCAAGGGCCTGAGTTCACAGGTTGCATGACCTGGACTGAGACCTGAGCTGGAGTTGAGTGAAGGGATGAACGGCCCTGCCTCTGTTACAGGCTGTGGGGAAAGAACTCCATGGCTGTGGGCCTCAGTTTCTGCATTCATAATAGAAAGGGGCTAGGCCAATTGATTGCCAAGGTTTTTCCTGGCTCTGATTTCAGAAACCTCATCTCTACTAAAAACAGAAAAAGTTATCTGGGCATGGTGGCATGCTCCTGTAGTCCCAGGTGCCCGGGAGACTGAGGCAGGAGCATTGCTTGAACCTGGGAGGCAGAGGTTGCAGAAAGGCAAGATCGCGCCACTGCACTCCAGCCTGGGCGACAGAGCGAGACTCTGTCTCAAAAACGAACAAACAATGACAGCATTTATTTTGCTCACAAATATATCTTTATATCTGTATGTTAGATTCTCCACCTAGCCAGGGATCCAACACTAAGACTCCGACCCGTTAGTCCAGTGATCTAACCAACAGAAGCCAGCAACCATAGCTCAGGGCCGGGAACCCCTGGCAGGAGACTCTGGCATGCCAAACCTCACTTGTTCTCTCATTCTAGCCAGGTGAGCAAGGATACCTTAGGTTGCAGTCCAAACTGGGACTACACCTGAAGAGCTTATTCCCTTCTTTCCGTGATTCTAAGACACCTAGAGCAGCCCAGAACAAGAGCCCTCCCTACACACAGCTGCAGCCCCTATCAAAATGACAGCTGCAAAGGCCAATTATGAGCAGGACCCTTCAGGTGCCAGCCACCGTACCATGAGGGACTCATAATGACAAACGCTCCTTATACTTTGGCAACTTCTCAGCCAAATATCACAATAATGGCCAGGCTCTAGGCAGTTGACGAGAAAAACCCCAAAATCCCAGGGATACAATTCAGTCTCAGCAGCCTTAAACAGCCCAAGAAAAACAAGTTGTGCTCTTTCTGGGCTCTTGGTATTTACCTTTTCTGACATTGAGTTTCATGATTTCCCTACCCATGGGTAGGAGTGGGGATGGAAAAAATGACAATCCATTTTTCCACATTGATAATGCGTAAGCTAGTTGAGATCTCTAAAGCCTCCACAATCTTTCATTTCTTCCCACCAGAGCGTACCCAGAAGTTTCTCCTAATTAGAATTTCCTCTGTTTCATTTAGAGTATGATGTCCGCCCTGGAAACCTGGAAGCAACCCTTTTCAGGCTGGCCTTCGCTCATCAGGGAAGTCTCGCTCACCACACTTAAGCTATATAAGACAGAGCAGTACTCACCTTGGTGGTATAAAATTAAAGACTAAATGAAGCAAGCAACAGACTTCAAAAGAAGAGCCATCCCCTCCGCAAAGGAAGGAGCTGAGAACAAAAATCCTCCGGAACAGCCCCCATCGCTTTCCCTTTGTCATTAGTGAGCCCCTGAAGACGGATTCCTGTTTGACATGGAGCCTGTACTTTTGACAGAGTCCCTGAACATGACCCCTAAATTGATTTTAAATCCCTCTTCAGAAGAAACAGAAATGATAAAACACACAGCATCTTTTAGAGACCATCTGCCAGAAACCACTCAACAGATGGGGGCTTAAAACTCTGTTAGCCTCCAGCCTGCCAGTCTTTGTTTAAACTTTAAGAGAACTGCAGGTGTTAAATGGGCCCCCAGGATTGCAGACCACTTCAGGGCATAGGTTCTAATGAGGATTCTGTGAGAATTGCTAGACAATTGGATCAGGACAGGCCTGAAAGGCTCCAACCAAGCCCATTTTATGGTTCACGTCTAGGTCTTGAGATACTTAAAATCTCCCTCTAAAATAAAAAAAAATGCTTAGACCATGTTTTCTTTAATTGAAAACTTGTAGCGAAGGCTTTCAGAGAACATTGTGTTTCTGTGCCACTGCATGCAAACTTAGGCCTACAATGTAAAATACCTAAATCTTGCAACTTTTCCTATTTTCATATTAGTTTCCTATATGACCTTGGGACTAGCCTTAGAGATTGTTTAATCCAAACTCATCACACACAGGAGGGAACTGAGGCCCACACAGGAGAAGCTACTTACTTAAGACTTTTCAGGATGTTTGTGGAAGAAATAAGATCCCACTATGGTACAGTGTCTTTCCTAATATCTCTGTGACTCTGGGTCCACAGTGGTAGGAGAGACGCTATGGCAGGGGGTGGGCTGGACCAAGACAGAGAAATGTGCTATTCCAGTTATCTGTTGCTGTGTAGCAAACAACTCCAATACTTAGGGCTTAAAACAATGACGGAAGCCAAGCCCAGTGGCTCACTCCTGTAATCCCAGCATTTTGGGAGGCCAAGGTGGATGGATCACGAGGTTCGAGACCAGCCTGGCCACTATGGTGAAACCCTGTCTCTACTAGAAATACAAAAAAATTAGCTGGGTGTGGTGGCATGCGCCTATAGTCCCAGCTGCTTGGGAGGCTGAGGCAGAAGAATTGCTTGAACTCGGGAGGCAGTGAACCAAGATCGCACCACTGCAGTCCAGCTGGCCAACAGAGCAAGACCCCATATCAAAAAAAAATATGACAGCATTTATTTTGCTCACAAATGTTTAGCTTGGGCAATGCTTGGTTGGGCAGCTTGGGGCAGGGCCTGGTTGAGCAGCTTGTCTCTTGTCCACTCTGGCTCAGTTGGGTCATTCAAAGGCTGGGGGCTGGAATCATCTGAAGTCTCATTCGCTCAGATATCCGGTAGGTGATGCAGACTTTTTTTTTTAATTAACTGACTTTTCTGAAATGAATGAATGAATGAATGAATGAATTTATTTATTTATTTATACAGAGTCTCTCTCTGTCACCCAGGCCAGAGTGCAGTGTTACAATCAGGGCTTATGGCAGCCTTAACCTCCTGCGCTGATGCTGACTCTTGGCTGGGATCTCACCTGGGGCTGTAGCTGGAACATCTGCAAGTGACCTTTCCATGTGGCCGCTTGGCTTTTTTACAACGTGGTTTTACGAGGGGGGTTACTGAGAGACAGAGCAGATGGAAGCCATATTCGTTTTTCAAACGCAACCTCAGAACTCCTTAGTGTCACTTCCACTGCATTCTGCTCATCAGGTGTGAGTGGCCCAGGCAAGCCCATTTTCAGGGAGAAGGGGATTCGACTCTGTATTTGGATGGAAGGGGTCTCAAAGAATTTGTGGACCTATTTTAAAGCCATCACGTATGCCAAAGATGTCTTTTTCTACCACATTGGTTAGAAAGTAAGGAATAGATTTTCACTGTTTTGAATAAACAGCCCCACAGGAAAGTGTATTTTACTCTGTGCCTATCATATACTAGGCACTAGATCGAATGTTTTGTTTCGTTATTTCATTTCAGTTTCAATCCTGACAACAGCAGCAGCTACACTTATATTTTACCGAAGAGGAAACTGAGACTCAGAGATCATTTAATTTGCCTAAACTCACTCAATTAGGAAGCAGCAAAAGCAGATTGTATCCCAGATCTGTGTTGAAGGCTCATTCTCTTTCCATATGATAACTTCCTGCAACTTCTTGCCAACTTCCACTAAGGTGGGTGGAAACTGTATCCCTGGTGGTACAACACCCCTGAAAATGCTGGGTTCTAGAGAAGTTTGATATAACTGGACCCTCCACCACACACACTAAAATGAGCCAAACCTCTCCCAGTTCTTGGCAAGGTCTACTTCTCGTACAGATGAGAAGAAAGCTGAGGCTCTCAATTTCGTTGGAGTACTCCTGGTGAAATTGTGTCTACCTTATTATATGTTAATGAAAGGACCAATGGTACTTTGCCTGACAAGATCTTTTTCATCCTTTGAACTCAGCTTACATGCTGCCTGCCCAAAAAGTCCTTCCCTGATTACCCCATCAAAGTAGGTTCCCCATACCACCGTGTTCCGTCACTGCCCATGGTTCGCGTCCTTCCTGGCATGTCTCCCAACCTGTAATTACGTGTGGGCTTAGTCACTTACTTATTGTCTGACTGCTACCATCGTGTCTGGCAGAGAGTGTTTGCTAAATAAATGTTTGTTGGATGGACAAATGACTGAATGAAGAAAAGATCCCAGACTGTAAAACCATGAGATCCACAGAGCTTCCACTTTTGACCTCAGGATGCTAGGACCACAGGTCGACACTCTCACTCCCCACTATGGAAAAATCAGGTATAATAACAGCAATCTTATGGGGCACTTCACTATGAATCAGGCGCTCTTCCATCACTTTATGATTATTATGATTATTATCACTATTCCTTACAACAGCCCTGTGACACAGGTATTACAATTATTCCTACTTTCCAGGTGAGGAAACTGAGGTTTGGAGAAGATATGTAGCTTGCCCTAAGCTAACACCACTGGCAAGAAGCAAAACTAAAGGTTCTCACTGAGATCTGTTTGGCTTCACAGCCTGCCTTCTCAGTTATTGGGCAATAGTGCCAACTATGGGTTTTCTTAAAGGCTTGATTTTAAAAAATCAAAAGGTAGCTAGAGATCAATTTTAAACAATTAATTTTTATGGAAAATGAGAATTGTTTACTTGACTCTCTGACAACACATTACTAACATCAAGTAGTGTTTGGAGTAGGTCCATGCATGTTGGTAACAGGTACCCAAATTATAGGAGCAGCATCTGTGGGCCTCTTGAATCTTCAGAATACAAATAGGGAATGGTGCAACAAAGTTTGGCTTTGCTTGAACTCTTTAAATAAGAGGGTGACTTGATCTAAATTATTCTAAGCTCTCAGTTTTCTACCCAGGCATAGGATTTAATGTAGCACGTGGCTCTCATGCCACCTCCAGCACCCCTTAGTTGTGGGTTGTGATAGGGTTTATGTAATTTGGAGAAAGGTTAATGAGAAGCCTGATACTTTATGAGATTCTTCACAACTCTAGGTCCTTAGTCCAGTTTCGGGGAGAAAGTGCCTATAATTTTTCTTAGTTGCTGTCTTCAAGACATCCGTTACATTCTAACTTTCCTGTGTTCTGTCAGTCCACTGTGTTTGAACCATACTCCCAGTGTCTTTTCACCTGGGAGAGAACATTAGAAGGACAAATGCAAGCCCTTCTACTCATAACACTTGCGCAGAAACACAATGAAATAAGCCCTGAGGATGTGATGCTAAAAGAAACCACAGTCCCTAAGATGAATCTCATGCAGTCCTATATTCCTCACAGAAGCTCAAGGTTGGAAAGAACTGTAGGAAGCCACAAAGTCCAGGTCCCTTCTCAAAGCCCTTGGCAATGACATCTGATCTTTCCTTCACCAGTTCCAAGTGTGTGTGTGTGTGTGTGTGTGTGTGTGTGTGTGTGTGTTGAGTGGGGGACGTCACTCTATTTCATGAGTGGACAGTGCTGACTGATGGAAATGTCCTCCTCAATTGTTTTCAGCTTGACCTCTCTCAAACTGTCCTATGGAACACTAGAGGGAATACAGTCCATTCCTTCTCCTCTAATCAGTGCTTTATTCACAACGGTATGTTCTAACTAGTCTGAAATTTTACAAACATCGTTGAAGCAGGTGCTCTTAAGAAAGGTCATTTTAATAATCAAATCTAAAAACAAATTTCAGAAACAATTATCTACAGGTAGGAGACATTAAAAAATAAGTCTTGAATGAATGAATGAATGAGTTTACTCACACCAATAAAACTGGAAGTTTCCTTTACTATTGAGTCACCATCAGGATACATCGGGTTTGGAGTGACAGGAGGAGAGTATCTCTTGGACCTCAGAGAGGGGCTGATGTCTCTGTCTCCCACCCCACCCTGTCCTGGGATACAGGTAGAAGCATCAGTTTACACTTTTATTCCCTCAATGTCCAGCACAGAACCTAGCACAAAGTGAATGCTCAACAAATACTCCAAAGAATTTCCAGTAATTGAAAGAGCCCCAGAGACCATTTGGCCCAATAATTTTCCTCCCAGAAATATAGAAGAGATCAGTAAAACAAATCAGTAATTTATTGTGGGTTCCTAGAAAGCCCTCCTACCTCCCCCACCAAATCCAAAACACCTTTCCATCTGCTTTGCCTAAAGTTCCTTTGATGGAAGGCTAGAGCCTGTCATAGCACACATCATCAAGTTTTCCCTTCTAAAGTGACAAGGCCCAAAGGAAAGATAAATTACCCTCAACTCACACTAAGGTATAAAGGACAGTTGGCAGACCTTTCTGGAAAGGTACATAAAATTAACTAGCAACCAAAGAATGAGTCATGGGAATCCTAAATATCTGCTTCTCTGAGCTAAGTGATGGGTATCATCTAAACTGATGAGATTGCTTACTTGTCTCCTCTGGGAAAAAAAAAAAGCAGTTTGGAAGGGTGGTCAAAACTTCCCTTCTTTTTTTTTTTTTTTTTCTTTTTGTAGACAGAGTTTCCCTCTTGTTACCCAGGCTGGAGTGCAATGGCGCAATCTCAGCTCACCGCAAGCTCCGCCTCCTGGGTTCAGGCAATTCTCCTGCCTCAGCCTCCTGAGTAGCTGGGACTACAGGCACGTGTCACCATGCCCAGCTAATTTTTTGTATTTTTAGTAGAGACAGGGTTTCACCATGTTGACCAGGATGGTCTCGATCTCTTGACCTCGTGATCCACCCACCTCGGCCTCCCAAAGTCCTGGGATTACAGGCTTGAGCCAGTGCGCCCGGCCAAAACTCCCCTTCTTAAAGGGGTTGCAAAATCCACAACAAGAGATCCACATGGTGCCTTCAATCTGACACTCATTAGGTGGGGCTCAGCTCTCCAGTGCTATGCAAAGACATCTGTTACCCTGTTAATTACATCCTGGACAAGCTCCAGGATGTCTGAGTCAGGACCCATGGGGCACCAGTATTTTTTTAAGAGCCCTTG